AAGCCTTTGAATGAATCCTTGCACCTCCTCACAAATGTTCTGATACATTTTAATATTCTTTTCTCGTCTATGCATGTCTTCATTAATTCCTCCCATGCATAAGTCCTTTGAAGGAGATGAATGGTTGCAAATCCCGTATTAATTTTTAGCCTGCACTGTCTTCAGTAATCTGGACATATCTCAAGCTCCCGATATCGAATTAATGTGATTAAGATTGCATTGGAAAGCTACAAGATAGGGGATTAAATGTTAAGAGACTTCATCACACAAAGATGCTTGGAACATGTTCAAAAATGTAGATCAATCTGACTGACGTGAACTGTCCAACCAACTCTTCAACTGCCTTTAGTCTTCTTAGCATCCAATGAACCTAGAAAAAGTATGTAAACAAATAATTAGATAGAAATTGAGCTATGATAATTATGAATGCATGCTTCCACCTATGTTAATAATGCAAATGAGCTAACTATGAATGCATATGCATTGAATGAGTTATATAAAGATGTGAATTAATAAGTCATGCATGAATATCATATATTATACATATAAATGACAGCATATAATATTCAAGCAAAAATTAAGAATAAGATAAACATATTCACGTGACATGTAATGCATAAATGAGTAAATAAATAATAAAATAAGGCAAGACTCTCTTAGAATCATCTTGGAAGAACTTCAAAGTTGTGAGCATGTTTTGTTTGAACTTGGTGGTTGGTAGGATCACATCATCCCCCCCTTCTTTAAGGCGATTTGTCCCCAAATCGATGCTTGGTACGTAAGGGAACAACTTTGATGTTCTTTTGAATGGAAATTCTTTCATTCTCATCTTGCATCGTTTTCTTTGCTCAAAATGCTTCACATGTTCAAGTCTTTGCTTTTGAATCAACAATCTGAAAAATAGAACAAAGTTAGAAGTAGATAATTTAGAATCAAAGGAAATGAAAGGATTAAATTCATGAATGAATGCGTTTGGACTCTTAATGTTCTCCATGGTTAGGTTCATTGAATCTTCCCTTTTATAAGGTGCATTCGATTTTGAGTATGAGGTGAATGTACTTTGAAGGTTAATGAACATGTTCTTTATAATTTCAAGTGACACATCTTTTGGAATTTCAAAAGAAATGATGATTGAATCATCTTGAATGTCCTTTGGAATAACCTGCAAATTCAAAGAATGAATAGAAGAAAAAAATTGATTAGTATAAAGAAAAACTTCATTCTCATTGCATTAATTCCTTTCATGCTCGTGTTTTTCAACACACTCATCTTCACTCTCATTTTCAACTCCAAATGTCTTGGTTTTCTCACAATTTCCTTCTTTGATTTGTGCATGTTCAACTCCATCATATCTTTTAACCACAACCTCACTTGTAATCTTTTCATTTTCTCTTCTACACGTACTTCCCCCTTTGCTCCCAAATTCAATCTTTTCAACTTTCTCATTTTCGACTCCAACGTTTCTCACATCAATTTTCTCATTTTCATTTTGATCTCCCTCCACTGTTATTTGTTTCTCACGTGAAACTTCTCTTTCAACTTTCTTCATGGACTTGATTTGGGCACATTGGAACCAACACGATCTTTCTCCCTTGGTGTTTGAATGAATATTTGTTGGAGAACCCATCATAGAATGCTCGTTTATTGAACTGCCAAGGACGTCCAAGGAGTAGATGGCTTGAATTCATAGAAACAACATCACGCAAAACTTCATCTTCATATCCCCCAATTGAAAATGACACAAGTACTTACTCTATGACTTCTAACTTTTCATCTTCATTTAGTCCTTGCAAAACATATGGACTGGGATGTTCGAACGTTATAAGCCCCAACTTCTCGACCATATATGTGCTTGCAAGATTTGCACAACTTCCACTATCAATGGCTACAAGACATACTTTGCCATCTTTACCATTTACATGGCAACGAGTATGAAATGCATTCTCTCCTTGTTGAATGTTCTCCATTGCTTGGGAAGAAGAAAGATTAAATATCATTTTTAGTAAAAAAAAAATTTGAAATGTGAAAATTAGGACCTTACCAAATTTCACACAACAAAACCTCACGGTCACTCCAAAAAAAATTGTGATGTCACTCCACTCAGGCACTCGTGTTTCACTCGGGAATATGTCTTTGGCTTTTGTAATTCCCCTTCTGATCTCACACACTCGAATAGCCTTTTTTCAGTCGTTCCTCTCTTGTAAAGTTCTTAAAAGAACTAACTCGAGACCTTTCAAGTACTATGGACGTCAACTGAAAAGTTTGTTAGTGTAGAGGAAAAAATAGAAAGCTAGAAAAATTAAATAATGAATGAAGGTCTTATAAAAGGAAGAAAAAAAGAAAGAAAGGTTCACATACTATGCAAAGATACTCACCACCTTCCAAGAAGAAACAATCAAAAGTCTTGAAGACTTCTTTAGGATCGGTTGGAATGATGATGTTGCTTGTCACCTTTGGTACTTCTTTGCATTTTGATTTCTTTGTTTCCTTTCTTTAGATTTTCTTCACTTGGAATCCCTTGTTGATGTTGGGATTAACTTGCTGATTTTTTTCTTTTGGCACTTCTCTTTTTGATTTTCTTTTTATTGAATGGTAGGATGTTGTTTTTGCTTGTTCTTGTTGCAATCCACCTTAGCTCTAATTACCATATGATACAGTTCAACCTAGCCTCACTTGGATGGATGGTGAAGTCAAGGTTGTTCCTTTCATTGTTTCGATCTAGGAAAGCAACAAGGATCCTGCACAAACAAGAAAGTTCAAAAAAATAGTTAAATGGAAGTAATGAAATGGAAAGATAAATATGGCAGTGGAAAATATATATAAGTTGGTGATATGTTTAAAGGAAATGATGCAGTATGGTAATCGAAGTAGAATGAAGGTGATGGAGATGAATATGAAAAGTAGTATCTCAAAGAAGAACCAATGTTAAAGAACAAAGACCCAGACTTTATATTGCTTCTTTAAGGGATGGTAAACAAGGACTTTGACCCACTATCTATAAAGAGATAGGAACCAGAAGTATCAGGGTGACATAGATAGGGGTGACGCCACAAGCAGAAGCTTGATAAATCAATGAAGTTCACTTAAGAACTAAAGAGAGAAACTCTCAAAATATTTGATTAAACTAAGTGAATTGGTTTCTTTTACAAATGAATGGAAAGCTATTTATAGGCCTAAGAGTGCATGGTGTGATTACAAAACATTTAATGAGTGAACCTTCATGGAAGAGTGTTCATACTTTAAGTAGATACAAAGCATGGCTTAGGAGAATGAATTTTGATGAATGGATATTCATCTTTTAATGGAATACATCCTTTGGCCGAATTCATCCCACCTTGTGTGAACTTGTTGATTTGTCTTCTATGGATGAATATTCATGAATGTATCTTGGCTGAAATTCTTCCCCCTTGTGTGAATATGACTATTTGGCTTCTTGCATGAATGGATGAATTTAAAAGCCTTTGAATTAATCCTTGCACCTCCTCACAAATGTTCTTATTCATTTTAATATTCTTTTCTCATCCATGCATGTCTTCATTAATTCCTCCAATGCATAAGTCCTTTGAAGGAGATGAATGGTTGCAAATCCCGTATTAATTTCAAGCCTGCACTGTCTTCAGTAATCTGGACATATCTCAAGCTCTCGATATCGGATTAATGTAATTAAGAATGCATTGGAAATCTACGAGATAGGGGATTAAATGTTAAGAGTCTTCATCATGCAGAGATGCTTGGAACATGTTCAAAAATGTAGATCAATATGACTGACGTGAACTGTCCAACTAACTCTTCAATTGCCTTTAGTCTTCTTAGCATCCAATGAACCTAGACAAAGTATGTAAACAAATAATTAGATAGGAATTAAGCTATGATAATTATGAATGCATGCTTCCACCTATGTTAATAAAGCAAATGAGCTAACTATGAATGCATATGCATTGAATGAGTTATATAAAGATTTGAATTAATAAGTCATGCATGAATATCATATATTATACATATGAATGACAGCATATAATATTCAAGCAAAAATTAAGAATAAGATAAACATATTCACGTGACATATAATGCATAAATGAGTAAATAAATAATAAAATAAGGCAAGACTCCCTTAGAATCATCTTGGAAGAATTTCAAAGTTGTGAGCATGTTTTGTTTGAACTTGGTGGTTGGTAGGATCACATCAACCGCCCAAAGGAAGTAAGCCCATTGCCAAAACCAGTAAGGGTAAAACTGCCACCACTCCAAATCGTTCTCGTGACATACAATGTTTTAAGTGTTTGGGGCGTGGACACATTGCAAGCCAATGTCCAAATCGCAACACCATGCTTCTTCGAGATGATGGAGAAGTTGAATCGGAATAAGAAGATAATGAGAATGAAGATACTACCATTGATATGGAAGAATTAGAGCATGCCGTGGAAGGAGAGGTCCTTGTTGTCAAAAGGAGCCTAAACGTGTAATCATATGGGGGAGATGAACAACGTGAAAATATCTTCCATACTCGCTGCGACGTTGGAGGAAAGGTATGCTTTGTTATTATTGATGGAGGTAGTTGCACTAATGTTGCTAGTACCTTAATGGTAGATACACTTGTCTTGGAAACAACAAAGCATCCACAACCACTTAAACTGCAATGGCTCAACGATGAAGGAGAACTCAAGGTGACCAAGCAAGTTCGAATTGCTTTCTCCATAAGGAAGTACAAAGATGAGGTGTTATGTGATGTCGTTCCAATGCACGCAAGCCATTTACTACTTGGAAGGGCTTGGCAATTTGATAGGCGAGTGATCCATGACGGTTATACCAATCGGTATACATTCACCCATGAGGCAAGGAAGATCACTTTAGCTCCACTCTCACCAAAGCAAATACATGAAGACCAAATTCAATTGAGATGAAACTTTGAAAAAGCCAAAGAGATAGAGACCAAAATGGAGGTAAAAGAAAAAGAGTGTGATCAAAATGAGGGAAGGAAAAGTATCATTCTTTCTAAAGAGATGGAGTTGAAAAAGTGTTTAATGGCGGCAAAGGAAACACTTGTGCTCATGTACAAGGAAAATTTTTTGAACACTAACTACCTTAATCAAAATTTGTCTGCTTTTGTTGTGTCTTTATTGCAGGAGTTTGATGACCTATTTCTGGAAGAAATACAAAGTGGGTTTCCACCTATTCGTGGCATAGAACATCAAATAGACTTTGTTCCTGGTGCTGTCATTCCAAATCGACCAATATACCGAAGCAACCCTGAAGAAACTAAGAAATTGAAAATGCAAGTATCTGAGTTGATGGCAAAAGGCTACGTGAGGGAAAGCCTTAGCCCATGTGCCGTGCCGGTTCTACTTGTGCCAAAGAAGGATGGAACTTGGCGCATGTGTGTGGATTGTCGAGCGGTAAACAAAATTACGGTAAAGTATCGTCACCCTATTTCTCGCTTAGATGACATGTTAGATGAGCTTAGTGGTTCTAACCTCTTTTCCAAGATTGATCTTAAGAGTGGTTACCACCAAAATACGAATGCAAGAAGGTGATGAGTGGAAAACAACATTCAGAATGAAGCAAGGTCTTTATGAGTGGTTGTTTATGCCTTTTGGCTTAACTAATGCACCAAGCACATTTATGAGGTTAATGAATCATGGTCTTAGGCCATTCTTGGGTATGTTTTGTGTGGTTTATTTTGACGACATTCTAATATCTAGTAAAACCATGGAAGATCATATTCAACATTTGAGGTAGTTTTACTTGTTTTGATGAAGGAAAAACTGTTTGCTAATTTACAAAAATGTACATTTTGTGCTGACAGGTTGTTTTCCTAGGTTTTTGTTATGAGTTCTGAAGGTTTGGAGGTTGACAAAGAGAAGGTTAAAGCCATTGAAGAGTGGCCACAACCTACAAGCATTTCTCAAGTTAGAAGCTTCCATGGACTTGCAAGTTTTTATCGGAGACTCGTCCCAAACTTCAGCACCATAGCCACCTCACTAACAAGTGTTATTAAGAAGAATTCTAAATTCTTTTGGCTTTTGGGGGAAGATCAAGATAAGTCCTTTAATATAATTAAAGATTGTTTAATACATGCCCCTTTACTTGCTCTACCTGATTTTAATTTAACTTTTGAAATTGAATGTGATGCATCAGGTGTAGGAATTGGAGCAGTCTTGTCTCAAGGTGGACGTCCTATAGCCTATTTTAGTGAGAAATTAAGTGGAGCTATGCTTAATTATCCTACCTACGATAAAGATATGTATGCTCTTGTGATGGGAATAGAAACATGGCAACACTACCTTTGGCCTAAGGAGTTTATCATTCACACCGATCATGAGGCGTTGAAACATATTCGGGAGCAGCATAAACTCAACAAAAGGCATGCCAAATGGGTAGAGTTTCTTGAAACTTTTCCATATGTTATCAAGTACAAGAAAGGTAAGGAGAATATAGTTGCCGATGCATTGTCCTGAAGGTATGTTCTTTTAAACACTTTGGAATCTAAGTTGTTGGGTTTTACTTTTATTAATGTTTCTGACTTTGATTTTGGGGAAATTTACAAAGCTTGTGAGAAAGGAACGATTGATAAATACTTTAAGCATGATGGTTTTCTATTCAAGGAAGGGAGGCTATGCGTCCCTTAAGGTTCCATGTGAGAATTGCTCACTACGGAAGCCCATGGAGGAGGATTAATGGGACATTTTGGGATAGCAAAGACTTTGGCTATACTTCAAGAACATCTATATTGGCCCAAAATCAAACGAGATGCGGAAAGGTTATGTGAGCGTTGCATTACTTGCAAGAAGGCTAAATCTAAAGTCATGCCATATGGACTTTACACACCACTACCCATACCGGAAGCACCAAGGATGGATATTTTAATGGATTTTGTGCTAGGGCTTCCACGCACAAAGAATAACAAAGACTCCGTCTTTGTAGTTGTTGATAGATTTTCCAAAATGGCTCATTCTATTCCCTGTGACAAAACTAATGATGCATCACATATTGCTACTTTGTTTTTCAGGGAAATTTTAAGGATACATGGTATACCAAGAACTATTGTGTCTGATCGGGATGTGAAGTTCTTAAGCCACTTTTGGAGAGCCCTATTGAGTAAGATTGGTACTAAGCTACTATTCTCCACCACTTGCCACCCTCAAACGGATGGTAAAACTGAAGTGGTGAATCGAGTAATTTCCATGTTACTTCGATCTATCATTCGAAAGAATTTGAGAACATGGGAGGAAAGTTTACCACATGTGGAGTTTGCATTCAACCGTTCAATCCATACTACTACGGGTCGTACGCCTTTCGAAGTGGTGTATGAGTTTAATCCATTAACACCGATAAACTTGTTCCCATTACTTGCTGATCAAATTGTGAATAAAGATGGACTTAACAAAGCTAAGTTTGTTAAGAAGCTTCATCAACAAGTAAGGGAGAACATTGAAAAGTGAACTAAGCAATACGAGCAGCAAGCAAATAAGGGTCGTAAGCGAATTACTTTTGGGTGTGGCTGCACATGAGGAAAGAAAGGTTTTTGGCACAACGAAAGTCCAAATTAATGCATCGGGGAGATGGACCATTCCAAATAGTCAAGAAGATCAATGACAACGCCTATCAATTAGATCTTCCAGGTGAGTTTAATGTCAGTGCAACCTTCAACATTGCTGACTTGTCTCCTTATGATATAGGTGATGATTTGGGGACAAATCGCCTTAAAGAGGGAGGGACTGATATGATCGTCAATAGCAAAGACCCGGAGAAGTACCCAAGTGGCCCCATCACACGAGCAAGGGCTAAGGAGTTTCAATCAGCCATGGAGAGTATGTTCACATCATGTTTGGAATGTGATGAAGAAGGAATAATAAGGGAGGAACACTTTACTTTGCTTATGCATGAATTTGCATGAGAATTTAAAGTTTGCATAACATTCATTGCATTAATAAGTGTGTTGTTCATTCAAGCATGCATTGCATTTAAATCATCTAGTTCATTCATCAATTTAGTTCATTTATTAGATTAAATCTTAATTGTTTCATGCATGTTTTCAATTAAATATTGAATAAAGTTCACCTTTGTGTCTAGGTGCATGAGAGAAGTTGAAAGGTTTCATCATATGCAAGAATGTTAGTCAGAATGTCTTCCAATTCTGGATCTGATACAGATGTTTTTGGTTCTAGAAATCAATTTAACATTATTCCTATATCTCTTAGCTTTCCAACGCCTTTTGAATCATCTTAATCCGATATCGGGAGCTTGAGATATGATCGATATATTGAAGACAGTACAGGATGGAATTGTTACGGGAATTATATGCATGGATGATTTGGATGAGTTTGAGACAAGGGAGAGTATTTTCAACTTCAGCCAAGTGACAAGCCATTGAAGGACTCTTAATTCACCTATTAAAGGCATTCAAAGCTGATTGTTATCATCTAAGTTCAAGGGCTGTTCATATTCTTCAAGGGAGCATACAATGAAGGGTGATTTAATTCACTTATCAAGACAATTTTCAGCATAGAATAGCAAGAGTCTTCCTCCCCTTAGACGAAATTAAGGCCAATTCAGCTTCAAATTGTCTAGATTCATCCCACAATGATTTAGAATATTCATCCAACTTTGAAGATAAGAAGACAAAGCATTCAAGTGCATTTTATTGCTAAATTGATGAGAATGTTTTCATCTTTTGAGTCTTTTCATATGCTTCTTAGAAATGCTATAAATAGACATTTGGGATATTTGTAGACACATTTTTTAATATATAAAACATATTTGAGAGGTTGCTTTCATTCTTCTTATCTTGAAGAACTTTATCGGCTTCAAGATAGTCTTGTAGTCTTCATCCATTTTCTTTTGTTATAGCGTTGGTTCCTAGCTCATATATAGCTAGTGGGTCACGTTCCTTACCCTACCATTTCGAATCCATTTTTTTATATTGTTGGTTCTTAGCTCCAAATAGCTAATGGGTCACAATCCGCTTTAACCTTACAACACTTACCACGGCAACACCATTTGCCACGACAACGCCATTCATACTTCACCATCTATTTTCATTATCATTAAACCACAATAACCATCACTCTTCCATCACCTTCAAACAACTTCCTCATTCTTTTCATTCCATTATTTCAATTATTATTTTATATCAATTCCTTCTTATGTTATATCTATGCAATTTCAGAGTTCAAGCTATCATTACAGGGTTTCTTACTAGAATCACGATCGAACATTTACATAAATGACTCGAAACACATAGCAGAAATCATATCATTTGGCATCAGAAAAAAGTCATTTTTCCCTTTTCAATAGGAAGATACAAGGATGAAGTTCTTTGTGATGTGGTGCGCATGAGTGCAAGTCATATTATATTGGGGAGACCATGGAAATTTGACAAGAGGGCTACCCATGATGGATTTTCCAACAAGTACTCTTTCCAACATGAGGGAAAGAAAATTATTCTGGCACCCCTGCCCCCGAGCCAAGTTCATGAATGTCAAGTGACCCGATGATGTGATCCTGTCTAGCTCCAAATTTCTCCATGATTTGATCACACCATGGAGGTTATTCAAATCTGATTCTAAGGGAGTTCTACCTTACTTTATCTTATATTTACTTATTTATTCACTATATATTATTATAAGCATACAATTTCATATTAGACTATGCTTGAATTATCATAACATGTGCATTCATTCATTATGTTCTATGGTTTGCATCATTGATTGATATTCATGCATATAATCTATAGTTATAATAATAATATTCATTCATTATCATATGATGCATGAGTTATTATTATAACCTATAGTTCACATCTTTATAATATGCACATTCTTATTACTTTATAATAATTCATATACTTAGCTTATATTATGCTTTCTTTTGTAGGTGCATGTTCGGCCATATGATGGGAGCTGACTTAAAGCTAGCATTGGAGTCCAAGAGCTATGGAAACTTAACTAGGACAACTCCGGGACAGCTCAAGAACATTTTGGGACAAAGTTGCCAGCTGACCCCCGAGCTCATAGCTCACTTGAGCTGGACTTTTGAGCTAGCTAGAGACCTCATTTCAGCTGGAGAGTTGCACCGTCATCTTCACCACACAGAACACTTCAAATATGGTCTATGTCAATTTTTGTGAATTCGTACCTTTTCGCGAATAGTTGCCATTCCAAAAGGTGCCTTTTCACAAGGAGCTGACCTATGACTCATCTTCATGTAATTCATCTATGGCCAGCTCATCTTCAGCTCAAACACTTGTAAAGTAGCTCAAATGATGAAAGGTTACCTTCCACATAATGTGACCTTTCATGACAAGTTGCTTCCCATTGAAGGCCATG